AGTTTTTTAAATTTAATGAATAAGCTAGACTTAAAGAAGAGGAAAAAATTGAGCTTTATTATTTTGTTACTATTATTGTTTGTTATTACTTCATTATTCTTTGTTTTTTATTGATTTTATTTTTTAATACATGACAGCAGAATGCATTACAAATCTTCTTACACATATAGAGCACAATTTTTCATATCTCTGTTTGTATATAAAGTATGTTGACACCCAATTCGAGTCTTCATACATGTGCTTTGGATAATGATGTCCATCACATTCCACCATCCTTGCTAATCCTTTTTATTTTGTTAAAATTAATATTTTATCTTATTACTAAATGCATGCTAAGACACTAAAGAGAGTGACATATAAGTGCCATGATTAAAAGATATACAAGGTGCTATAAGAAGATAAATGTTATTTATAAAGGTTGGTTCCTGAAGGAACTGAAATTTGAACCAAGACTAGAAAGTGTGGTGTGTTTAGAATTCAGGGTATAGGTAATGAAGTCTTGATTTACTGGATTTTAACAAATCATAATATATAACTATAGGATTATAAGGGTTTTTAACAAATAATATAGTTCAACATCTCATTTTACTTTCAAGAAAACTGAACCCTTTAATATATGTGCCCAGCATTTTCACAGGAGAATGACTATGATACAAGGTGAGGTCATTCTTAAAGAACTGAACACCACTGTGTTGAAGAAGAAAAAGAAGCTGAATGTAGCCATATTATAACCACTCACCTTAGAAAACCTCCAACCTTCTTAGTATGAAAATGTCTATAATCTGCTATCCCAAATATATAACTTAGAGAAACCACCTTCAGATAATCTGAATGGTGTCCATAGACAAAAAAAATGTTAAAAATCTGTAAAGTGCCTCTGCATACTCTATAGGTTCATCAAAGAACACTGGTGATAAAACTGTTTAAGGTATGCATAAACACAGTCAACTCATCAATTCACCCAATTCTTTCCTCTTCTTTCAATTTAGCTTGTTCATTAAATTAAAAAAAATCGAAACGTAACAGCTGTTAAATGAAAGTATTCTTTTAAATCCTCTGCAGATATTTTGTTAAACTTTGGGAAAAGCTTTATTATCTTATTATTAAGTAGCAAATTAACCATGGGACAATAGTAGAAATAGGTCTACCAAAAACCAAGAAAAATGAAATGCCAATATATAAAATACTGTTTCTTTGATGTCTGCCCCCATGTTGCATACAAATCTTTTGCAAGCTAGTTCCCATTTTGCATTTCAAGAGACAATGACTTCTGGGGAGGTACTATGATTTTTCTCTGTAATATTCTACACGAAATAGGGGTACTACCATCTTAGACTTTAGAAACTTCACATTTCTGGCATGTAACATATATAAAAGCAAAAGTCTAATTATAAAAATCTTTGACAACTTTGAAAAAAATAAAAGTCCATTACTTAATTAAAACAATTTACTACATATTTCTTTAAAATAGCAAACAATACTTTATGAAAATCTGATTAATGTGAGTTTTTCAGGAACATGTATTATATAGACAAAATTCATATTTTTTGAATGTCTGTTGTAATAAGATTTGAACTCCAATTACAAAATAGTGCAAGAGACTTGAAAATGAAAATGACTAACATATGTATGCTAAAATGAGAATTTAAACACAAGGGAAAGCAAATCAAAATTCCAATGACTGGTGCATATATAAAAACTGAAAAGAACTGCTGGGCACAGTGGTGCAAGCCTGTAATCCCAGTAGCTCAGGAGGCTGAGGCAGGAAGATCGTGAGTTCAAAGCCAGCCTCAGCAAAATCAAGGTGCTAAGCAACTCAGTGAGACCTTGTCTCTAAAATACAAAATAGGGCTGGGGATGTGGCTTAGTGGTTAAGTGCCCCTAAGTTTAATCTCTGGCACCTTCCCACACGCCAAAAATAGAATATACAAATTATTAATAGTGGCTACACCTTGGTATGAAGTGGGGACTTTCTTTTTGTTTTATACATATCCCTATTGTTTGCTTTATAAGAAATATGTACTAATTTTATTGTTTTAAAATACTTTCTTAAAACTGTTTTAGTATTTTTTGTAAGCAAATAAGTACAAAAGGACAGTGGTTCTCCACCAAGACTACATCAGAATCCTATAGATATCAGTAATACACTGTATACTTAAAAATCTGTAAAGTGGTAGAACTCATACTTAGTGTTCCTGCCAAAATAATTTTTGTTTTTTTAAAAAGGAGTGCAACAGAGTCAACTAAAGAGTGTTTTTGAAAGAAAATATGCAGATGCTTGAGTCCTACTGCAGAATACCAAGTTAGAAAGGTTTGGGAATTATCAATCTAGGTCACCTTTAAAGCTCTTTCCAAAACTAAAATGATACGTACAAATATTCTGTACAGGTTCAGAGTCTAACCACCAACAGCTACATACACAGAGTTTAAAAACATCACTTCTCTAAGAATTTCCTATTCCCCAGCGCTACACTCATTATTGACCTATAGAAACTAGTAGGAAATAAGCTGATTTAAAACACATACAACCTTTAACTGAAAACATTTTTCCTTAGGGCTATTTTGACACAAAACCCATTGTTTTTTGTGACTACTGAGACAGGAATTTGGGAACTGGCTCTAAGATAAACACCAATTATTGCAGAGGTAAAAGGAAAGCGGGGAGGGACATGGCTGTATATTATTGGACTAATTCTCTAACCCAAAACAATAATAAATGAACTTTCCTAGTAAGTCAGATAAGTGTTAGCACTTTTCCTAACCTGGCACCTCATCTATACTGGTGGTTCTTGGTCCTACTAAATCCAATGCCCTTTTGTTATATAAAAAAGTCTATATATACACAATAATTTTAATTTATCCTTTTATATCCTAAAATGAAATTCGTGGGTATTTAAAATGATTTCAAACATACTAATAAAATATTCTAACAGCAATATAAAGGAAAAATAAAATGAAAATAATTTGTATTTCTCAATATGTATATATTTAAGCATGACTATCAAAAGATGATGAAATAGATGCTCATATCTACTTATAAGTGATACATTCAAATGTAAGAGAGGTAGGATAAAAACCTATCTTACGCAACAAGTAAACAAAAATGAAGTATAGCAAGTGATTTCTGGAAAAGGTTCCAAATCATATGAAGTACATTATCTCTTGATGTATGAAGGTGCATTTCTAGGAAATTTAGTATTTATTAAAATGTATGAAATACTTTTGTGTTCATAAATAAAACAAGCTTAGTCATAGAAAACTACATAAAGGTTTTCCCCCTTCACAAATATTCCATACATAGAATATTCAAAAGCTATGAAGGAATTGCACAGCTCTTTGCTACATAGGATGTTCTGTGCTTTACATTTTTGGCTGCTGCCCAACAATTCCCTGTGAAAAACTCAATGCTCCACACAATTCCAAAGTGCCTCCTAGAGGTTAGTGCCATTTATTTCAGAGCCATTGGTTTATAAGTGAATTTAGTATTTTAGTAAGTTTCAGTACCTATATGTATACTAATATGTATTCTAGCCTTGGGCTGAGGAGAAAGTGACTAATGATCCCTGAGATCAGGTTGAAGATACTTCATATATGATATTAGGACTACTTTTAACTAAAAAGCCTAGTGCATTTCCAACCTAGAAGCCTCTAATAAATTTCACCTAAAACTGTACCTGCTTTAAAAAAAAAGACAACAAATCTTTTCATACACAAAAGAGAATTAAAGACAGATATACTGATAATTTTGCCTCCTTTGTGTATCCACCTCCTTTTAAAATGCTTTCTACTACATTTTAGGCAATCAAGCTCAAATTGTGAAGACATAACAATTCTTTCATCTATACTAATGCAAATACAATGCTGAAGCAAATAATCCAAAGTCATTTACATATGCTTCTGATATGTATTTTGATAAATTTCACTAATTGAGATTGGGAAATATAATTTATTTTGGCACTGAAAAACTTCCATGTGTCCACATATATTTTGTTAAAGTAGCAGATAATTCATAGGACTAATAATTACTGGTGTACCCTCACTTTAAATAAAGATGATAATGGCTTTACTTTATATAAAAGGATTCATTGCTTAGAGGAATGTCATCACAGGACTTGAACATAAAAACTCATGAGTTAAAATGCCATTTAATAAATAAATGAATGACTGAATATCCATTCAATTTCTATATACTACAAAAGACTTTCTGAAAATTTTAATCAAAATAATAATTAGTCTTAATAGGTGAAGTGACCATTAGTCACTATTTAGCCTTTTTTTCCATTTCAAACTTCACTAATTAACCAATACTACTTAAAAGAAATCAATATTCATTTTAAAAAAATCTTACTTCATATCTCTCTTCATATCTAAAATTGGTTAAATATTCATGTACAGGCATCACCTTGTGACAAAAATAAGTATATTTTTATACATAACTGAAATCCATTTTTGAGTCTTGTGCTTTCTAATTGTTCTACAAATAAAGTTTGACAAACATGAAATCTTCATATCTCTACGATGTAAGATTCATTTCTGAATCAGTTTTAAAGCAACCAAACACATATAATCACTCTAAAGGGCTCTGATTATCATAAAGAATAGTCTTATCACCAGGTATGGAGACCCATGCCTGAAATCCCAGCTGTTCAGGAGGCTGAGGCAGGAGATTCTTGAGTTCAAAGCCAGCCTTAGGAACTTAGTGAGGCCCTAAGCGACTTAGCAATATCCCGACTCTAATTATAATATTTTTAAAAGGGCTGGGGATGTGTGGCTCAGTGGTTAAGCACCCCTGGTTTCAATCTCTAGTACCAAAAATAAAAGAATATGTCTTATCAAATAATTTCAGAACAGAAATCCTGTTTTCTATTATTAAACATAGAATTCTAATGCTGATAAACAAATAATCCCCTCCTTTACAAAATAGCACATGATCCCAAAACACATCTAACATATAAATTTCTAAGCACAAACCAAATGTATATATAAAATTTTGTACCTACCTGGTACTAGGCCGTTTTTGCAGAGCTTTATCCAAGATAAGAGATGGAGCACTCCTTCTCCTTTCTGCTAGTGTTTTCATTTTCTGGTGAGGGAAAAAACCAAAAAATCAAAATGAAGGCCATATGGCTTGTAAGGGAAGTATATGATTTCATTGATTATTGAAACTGTAACATCTAAAATAGGAGAGTTAAGTGTCAAAAAGTAGTGTAAGCAGTAAGTGGTTTTTGTGATCAGAGAATAAAGAGGTTAAAGGTTGACTAGACTATCTTGGAAAAGCACCATTATAACCATTAGTATTGTATGTCTAGTACTATAACTAGAGACTGGGCATAGATTATCTCATTCATATCACAAAATATCATTAGTTTAGCCTCTACTAACTCTAATTCATAGGTCCCTAATTAGGTTTCATAGAAAGAAAGGACTTGGAGAAGTCAATTAAAGGGAAGAAAAACCAGTTAAAACAAAAACATAGCAACCAATATTCTCAAATATATAATAAACCTTTCATTTTTTAAAAATGTAAATATGTCCATATTTGGGAATCTCTTCTTCTAAACATTATTTTGCTACAACTTACAAAAGGAAAAAGGAAAAAAAATTCTTCTTTTTTTTGGTGAAATGTAAGATATTCTGGATGCTGTTTCCAGAGATCTAAAATTTGTGGTAAATGAGGTGTTATTCAAATTAAATTTTCTGGATTAATTACTTTAATCTTACAGCTTTACATATAGCCAGAAGGATCTGGTTCTAGAGATTGATAAGTAAGATTAACAATATAGTAACAGATAACAATAATTCTTCTAGTTATACCCTCTTGTACTATCCTATTAAGACTCAGAGGTTTTACCCACTGCCCAAGGGCCCAGGCCAGCCATGCTTGAGAAGTGGATGGTGCTCTAACAGGAACCATTTAAAACTGATTGCATTGCATCCTATTACACAATTCATAGAGGAATCATTTCTTAAAAAGTAAACAATAGGACCTAGATCTGAATGCAGGAATTGAGGAAAAATCATCCAGATAGAGATGCTGAATTTCTCTGACACAATTCTCATCCCACAAATTGACTAGGCTCCCAGGGATCTGTCCCAAATTATTGCTGCCACTACTCTGGCCTTATTAGCAGTGTTTCCCTCATTAATCTTTTCGCTGACATGTGGAAACTATATTCTCAAATCTCCTTAGCAGATGAGATATCAGTTAAAGTAATTCTATAAAACATTAATAAAAGACAGGAAACAAATGAGTTAAGAAATACAGAATATTAAACACCTCCATCAGGTGTTTTTAACCATGAATCAGTTTTAGACCAACAGATTACTTGTATAAAAGTGTTATGCATGATTTATATTTGGCCTGCCTTAGAGAGAAACAGCCCACATTGTCATCAGAGTCACAGAAGAGTCTAAATCTTCCCAACTTTAGTGATTTTAATAACTTAGTTTATATATTTTATCTTGCAAGCTCCACCTCACTGTTTCCATTAGTCATACCCCTTAGAAACAACCCTCAGGAATCTAAAGCCTTGAGGCTGCTGTGAGTTCAGAAGTTGCAAGGAGAAAGGAAACCTTTAGAGACAAGTATTTGTATTGCAAACTATAGCAGCCATCTCCCCAAAGAGTCTTGATATTGGAAATGAAGTGACATAATAATGGGGGCAGTTTGTTCATATGCATCAAGTTATGTTTTAGATCTTTTGCAGGATTCTATTGCTTAATTTGGGGTCCAAAGAGCCCTAACAAATCCATTTTATGGGTGTTTCTGAACTCTCTGAAGTTGTGTGTATAACTTAATTCACAAATTCTCAAAGATCCAGTCCTCAAGGTCAACATGGATTCTCATTCTATGGTTTTGACTCATTTGTTTTTGGCTTATCTTGGGCTTGAGCTTGATTCCTACTCCCTATCATGGTTCCTTTTATTCAGGACCTGTATTTTTCTTACTTCAAAAACTGAAATGTGCCCAATCCTGTTAATTTTACCTGAACCCCTGGCCCTATCTGCTTTGACCTAAAGGGTCTAAACTATCTTGTGGGGCTGTTCCAGGATCTATCTTTACAACTTTATGTCTGCTTCCCCTAACCCTCTGACATTACTGTCACTAGATCCAAGATCCTAAACTAGATGTTCATTAGTACACGATTTCTAATTCTGAGGTTCTTAGCATTCAGGTTTATAAAGAATTTGGAAAGGGTTCAAAAGAGCCTATAAAAAAATTAAAATGATCTGACATTTTAAATTTGGGAACAGTAATAATTTCTAAAATTAATGTAGCCCTATCTGTGGAGGAAAGTAAGTATTTTCCAATGTGAGACAAAAAGAAATGAAGCAAAATTATAGAATGAGAATACAGGTTGACCTTGAAGACTGGATCTTTGAGAATATGTGAACTAAGTTTTACACACAATTTTAGTGGGTTCAGAAATGCCTATAAAATGGATTTGTAAGGACCCTATGGACTCCAAATTAAGCAACCTTCTGATTTAAGGATATATTTCATGGAGTGATAGCAATTAAACATAGAAGAGATAATCAAAGAAAGGTGACAAATATTTCTCTGTAAAGATACTATTAAAATAGGAATTTTTCAACATAAGCTAATGATCAATTGTGTACACAGTGATTAGGCAGTGTTTTCTGAGTAATAAAACTGTCAGATACATAAATAAGGTCAAATACTAAGCATGTCCACTCATTTAAACCGGATTCATATTGAAGAGAAAGCAATCAAAATATAGGCAAAATAGTGTTTTTATTTGAGGTCCTACTATGTGTACTCAGACTTACCCTACCACTAATGAAATATGAAACCTAAGATGATTCAGCCATTTCTCCAAGCCTCTATTTCCTTGCCAAGAAAATTTGATCTACAAATTCTATTTGTGATATTACCCTGTATATGCAAGAAAACAAATAGTATGTGCACTAGGCATTTAGGATTTGCGGCCTTCATTTTGCTTATAAGCAATAAAAGAGCACCAAATAGAATGAAATTTAATTAGATTTACGTATTAATTCTTTCAAAATATATAAATCTCATTTGCTTGAACAGTAAAACAAAGGGATATGGGAACKTTGAAACAAATTCACTGATCTTTACTCAGAAAAAAACTTGGATTTTCTTCTTGTTTATAACAACTACATAAAATAAAATACATCAAGACACACTGAGACTATTGATTCCTTTACAAATGTATAGTAGAACAAACTTATCAGGATAGGCTGAGGTTATGCTTATACTAGCACCAACAAATTTCAGTTATTCTGTGACATGATTAATTATGATTTATTGCCTCACAAGAAACAGAAGGTAAACTTTAAGCAGTGTTACCTTAAAAAATCATTATCCAGGGGCTGGGGTTATCAGTGGTAGAGCACTTGCCTAGTAGGTGTGAGGCACTGGGTTTGATTCTCAGCACTGCATAAACAAACAAACAAATAAAGGTACTGTGTCTACCTACAACTAAGAATATTAGAAAAAAAACATTATCTACTGTGTGACTTTATTCTTCAGAATTCCTAAGTGCTTGATATTTTTATCTAGATAAAATCAATAAATAGTAGATACTGTTGTGGAAGGAAATATTTGTAAAGGTAATCTTTTTAAAAAAAATTGGTAAGCTACTCCAATTTTTTTTACAAGAGAGGAAACACTATTTTTGCAATCTCAAAAATAGATAAATGGGGCTGGGGATGTGGCTTAAGCAGTAGTGCACTCGCCTGGCATTGCCGGGCGCTGGGTTCCATCCTCAGCACCACATAAAAAATAAAATAAAATAAAGATGTTGTGTCTACCGAAAACTAAAAAATAAATATTAAAAAAATTCTCGGGCTGGAGATGTGGCTCAGCGGTAGCTCGCTCGCCTGGCATGCGTGCGGCCCGGGTTCGATCCTCAGCACCACATACCAACAAAGATGTTGTGTCCGCCGAGAACTAAAAAATAAATATTAAAATTTCTAAAAAAAAAAAAAAAAAAATTCTCTAAAAAAATATATAAAGGTTTTTAGGTCTTCAAGGTATAGAATCATATAGTCAGAAAAAAAGTGCTAGTTTAAGTTCTTCTTTTCCTATAGTTATTCCTTTAATTTCTTTCTTATAATTGCTCTGGCCAGTGTTTCCAGAACTATGTTGAATAGAAGTGGTGAGAGAGGACATCCCTGTCTTGTTCCAGATTTTAGAGGGAATGCCTTCAGTTTTTCTCCGTTTTGAATGATGCTGGCATGAGGCTTAGCATAGAAAGCTTTTACAATGTTGAGGTAAGTTCCTATTATCCCTAGTTTTTCTAGTGTTTTGAACATAAAGGGATGCTGTATTTTGTCAAATGCTTTTTCTGCGTCTATTGAGATGATCATGTGGTTCTTATCTTTAAGACTATTGATGTGATGAATTACATTTATTGATTTCCTTATGTTGAACCAACCTTGCATCCCGGGGATGAATCCCACTTGATCATGGTGCACAATCTTTTTGATATGTTTTTGTATCCGATTTTCCAGAATTTTATTGAGGATTTTTACATCTATATTCATTAGAGATATTGGTCTGAAGTTTTCTTTCTTTGAGTTGTCTTTGTTTGGTTTTGGAATCAGGGTGATATTGGCCTCATAGAATGAATTTGGAAGTCCTCTACATAGGGAAGAGGAGTGGGAGAGAAAGGGAGGGAGAAATGGAATTGCATGGATGGTGGAAGGAGACCCTCATTGTTATACAAAATACATGTATGAAGATGTGAGGCAAAAAAAAAAAAAAGAATAGCATTACCCTAGATTAAGTTAAGAGAAATGGAGGGAGGGGAGGGATGGGGTTGGGGAGATAGGAAGGATAGTAGAATGAAACAGACATTATTATTACTGTGTGTATATATGTGACTGCATGACCAATGTGATTCTGCAACCTATATACTCAGAAAAATGAGAAATTATATCCCATCTGATTCAAATGTATGATATGTCAAGATCACTGTACTGTCATGTGTAACTAAGTAAAACAAATAAAAATAAATAAATAAAATAAAAGAACTATACTATTTCATTTATCTTTTGGAAATGATTTTCTTGATATTAAACTATTTACCAAGT